TATAGTTAGATATCATCGATAAACCGGAAATTGTCCCGTTGCATCTCTATAAAGAGAGGAGATATCATAAAAATCTCAAAGGTACATATATATATATATATTTATGGGTGGTAGTCGATTGGTCGATGTCAGTTAATTGCTCGTAAAGCGAGATCATCTTGAAAGACGAAACGAGATTTCCTACGGTCGAGAAATATCCGTGAGGGTCAGAGTTGAGGGCAAAGGATACGACCGGCGAGATGTTTGAAAAGGGGAGAAAATGCCAGTGGCAGAAAGGATACCCTTTCCCCTCTCCCCTCTCCTCCGGATCAATAATATTCCCAGTGAATTTCGATGTAAAGTAATGCGCCTCTGAAATTTTGCCAATAAATGTGAAAAGAAACTGTGCAATTGTATATATTCAATGATCGCTTGACGACTTTTATGATCGCGATCACGATTGTTACAATGCACAAGAATTTAAAAAAAAAAAAATCGTATAAAAAATTAAATATATAAGAGAATAGAATAGAAGATTAGAGAAGTAGCGTGATGGAGATACGCGATTGATAAATTTAATTTTGCAAATCCAATGAAAATAAAATCGTGTCAAATCGGCAAAGAGCGGGGAGTACAATGGAAAATGCGAGAATTCTTTCTAGATATGCTTTATATTACGTAACTTGAAATAAAGAATTGTAAAAAAAAAAAATCCAATTAAACATAATTTCATTCTTTTAATTGAATTAAAATAAATAAAACGTAAAGTAATGGATATTTTTCTTATTCTTATTAATATTATGAATTTTACATTGCATTATTCGTTTATTTTTATTTATTCTTTCTTGCGACATCTATATGTAATTGGAGTATAAATTTCACAATGTAGTAACGGCAGTAGTTAAAAAAAAGAAAAAAGAAAACGTATCGAATCTCATTTCTTCGTTTAAAAGAGCAAAAAAAGCGTTAAAATTTTGATTCTCTTAATAAAAATCGTTTTGTCACTGTTCATCGTTTACACGAAACTTGCACGAATAGGAAATACGACGAATCTCAATTCTTTTCATTGGAAGAAACACGCGAACAATTTCAATGAAAACGTTATCCAAGTATGAATGAGAATTGCAAGCATTACACCACGCACCTTTTCGCAATTATTACGAGCGCAATATCGTAGACATCTCCTCCCATAGAGGATGAATCATCCACAATAACAATATAACGCGAAACGAAAAGCAATTCATTTACATAATAATAACAAATTCCCTATCGTGAATCATCTACGATCCTTCTCTCTTTTCATATCTGTTTATATCTGCTGCGAATCAATTATCGTTATTTTCATTTACTTCTATAGACAATGGATTGGTATTAGGATCTTTTAAATAATTGCGTATATGTACTTTCGTTCTTTGTCGCGAATCCTTAGAAAGATCCTAAGAAAGATCTCTTCATAAAAATATATGCAGAAATGGAATCATCAGAGATGAAGATCCTCGATGTATCTCTCTTTAAGAAAACTTTTTAACATTCCAGATATACGTTCAATTTCATCCAACACATTCCAAAATTAAAGGATAAAATTTAAAACTTGATATTTGGCTATCAATTTAAAAAAAAAAAAATTGTCATCCTCGAAAGAATCCATCTTTTATAACGCACCATCTTTTCCCTTCCTCGTATCGTGGAGAGACAATGTTTTTAACACGATTTTGTAAAAAGATTCGTTTAAAAAAAGAAAGAAAAAAAAGAAAGAGAAAAAAAAAATTCATATTCAATTGCGGTATTATTCCGTAATAATCGCATCATCGATATCGAAACAACAATATACCGTGATCCTTGAAAACTGCAAAAGCCAAGCAACACGATTATTTGATAAAGTTCCTGTTCGACCGTGACCTATATTTAACATTGACCCACTTGTAGAGCCGGTACCGCACGCAGGAACATAGGTAGCGTTGCCGATTACACGTCGTCCTAGAGTAAATCTGACCCACATCCGGTACTTGCAACGTCACGTGCCGTTTCATTCGAATTTATGCACCGATTGTAGGTAACGTTACGATGGCCAAAGCGCGGATGAAATGGCTCGTCAAACCCATTGTGCCATTCCCGATAACCAATTATTATTGCGAAACGGAGAGTGAGATCGAATAATCGAATAATTTTTTTTCATATGTGGATATGGATAGGCACAGGTCGAAAATCATTGATCATGATTAAAAAAAGTAGTTAGAATTTAGAAATCAAGTAGAAATTAAATAATAATTTAGATAGATATTTTATTGAACAATTGGTTAGGTTAGGTTAGGTTAGGTTAGGATAATATCTAATTTCTGATCAAAATTTGTTTTCTAATTTGTTATATAAATAAATTTATATAACAATGATACTAGATAATATAGTATTGCATCTCAAAAACTCAAAATAATTTCTGTGATACATCAAACATATATAATAGAGATTTTGAAAATTGCGACAAGAAATCTTATAAAGCGAAATTCAAAAATTTAATTAATTCGAGATGATAAATAGATATAAAATTATCTAAAATTATGTAAGTCTAACGTTATCCTGTAACTACGTATATAAAAGTAAAAATAATAGTATGATTTCCTAGTTTGATATTTTTGATAAGATAAAATTATATTTACATTAGATTTTTGCTCTGTGTAATTTGAAAACAAGTTTGAAATAACTCTGCTTCAATCATTAATCATTTCTTTTACAATTCAAATGACAGATTGATATTATTTGACTTTAAAATTTCCCATATAAATCAATCAAAAGTAAAATGATAAATAATAAAATAATAATAGGATAAAAATATTCAAAGTTATTAATAATAACTGTAACTGAAAATTGAAGTCACAAATAAATAATTTGTAAAATTATATAAAACTGCCCCCAAATTTCTTATGAGATATCTTAGAAGAAACTTACGGATAAGATGTTATTTTAAGTCAATGAATAAATCAAATATACATTGATTTTAGTATCGAGTTTTTGACTTAAAATAACATCTGCCAGAGAAGGGGAGGAGGGGTGGGGATTAACACTAAAATCGTATATATTTTAACAATTCTTCTATCTATTTTAACTTTTCAGAAACTATTTTAAGAATTCATCTCGGATTGGAACAAGTGTCAGCCAAAATAGGAATTAATTGTTCCACTCAAGGCACATTGAGGCAAACGAGACTTCTGTTCTCGGGTCAGAACACCGTAGTAATGGTTGGAACGTCAATCGATACGTAATCGGGAATTGTTTCTAATTAAATGTGGTAGAGGAAGTTTTGGTAATAATTATGCTGGATGGACAGAGAAATCGATAAGCAAGTATGATTATTTTTGAAATTGCTTTCAAATTATTTTCACAATTTATAAAATTAATTATATTCTGTGATACAGATATTGTTTGCTATTCTATTTAAAAATTGTATCGAGTCAAAGCTACAATGTAAGATAAATAATAATTATTTGACATAAAAAATATTCTGCTGAAAATAATATTGAATTTTTCATTTGAATATGAAATGATATTCATTTTGTATGAATAACTAGATATATAAACGAAATATTTAACGAATTAAATTAATGATATACACTTATGTAAAAAAAAAAAAAAA